AGGGCTCCTGGGGCTGGAAGCGCTCCTGGACTGGAAGTGCTCCTCAGGCTGGAATTGTTCCTGGGGCTGGAAGGGCTCCTGGGGCTGGAAGTGCTTCTGGGGCTGGAAGTGTTCCGGGGCTGGAAGGGCTCCTGGGGCTGGGAGGGCTCCTGGACTGGAAGGGCTCCTTAGGCTGGAAGTGTTCCTGGGCTGGGAGGGCTCCTGGGGCTGGAAGGGTTTCTGGGCTGGGAGGGCTCCTGGGCTGGAAGGGCTCCTCGTCCCCGCTGCTGGAGGATCTTTGTCTGCCTCGGGGGAAGCCCGGCAGGCAGAGAGGCTCCTGCTGTCCCCTGAGCAGCCAAGGTCGTTTCTGGAGCCGGTGCAGATGCCAGCTGCCACATGGCCCGTGCCCGCAGGAGCAGGGTAATTAGCTGGAAAGATGGTCAGGCAGCATGGGAAATGGGAAATGGGAAATAATGGGAAATGGGAAATAATGGGAAATGGAAAATGGGAAATGGGAAATGGAAAATGGGAAATGGGCAAGGTGAGGGGGAATGGCAGAGCCATGCCTGGACCAACAGCTCTCTGTTCCAGAGATGCCTCTCTGTGCCCAGGCCTTCCCCCCAGGCTGTGGGGAGATGTGGGCATGGCTGAGGCGTGGCTGGGGGCTGGCACTGGGTGCCCACAGCACCCTGTGTGTCCCCACAGCCTGCCCATGTCCCCACAGCCTGTGTGTCCCCACACCCTGCCCAGCCTCCCTGGCCAGGTGGGTTTGTTCCAGCTCAGTGCCCTCAGTGCTGGAGAGGGGAAGAGCCGATCTAACCTGACTGGGAACATGGGACAGCCACACTGAGGGAGGAACAGCCCGCCAGGGCAGGCAGCCATAGCAGTGCCCTCTGCAGTGCCAGTGCCCGTGCCCCACGGCCATGGCAGTGTCCCTGCAGTGCAAGTGCCCCTTAGCCATGGCAGTGCCCTGCAGCAATGGCAGCATCCCTCAGCAAGTACAGTGCCTACGGTGATGGCACTGTCCCTCAGTGATGGCAGTGTCCCTGACCAGTGGCAGTGTCCCTTGGCAGTGGCAGAAGTGGCAGAGCTGCTCCCTGGCATGGTGCCACCTCCTCCCTGGCTGTGCCCAGTAGTTCCTGCCTCGCTGCTCTCCAGCTCTGGAGCTGTGCTGCCCTGGGGGCTGGAGCTGGTGCAGGGCTGGCTGTGCCCTGCCCCCTCTCCTGGTTACATTTCTGTCGGGTTCAAGGGGAACCTGGTCCAGGGCACTGGCACTGGGGCTCTGTGTGCCCTGGAGGGTGACTCAGAGCCCAGGGCAGTGTCCCCAGGCTGGGCACACCTGGTGCTCTGGACTCCTGCAATATCCCAGCATGGGCTGTTGGTGCTCCAGGGGTGCTTTCAGAGATCCTGGGCATGGTGAACATGGAGCTCTGCTCCATGGCTGGCTGGGGGCTGCTGCCCCTCTGCTGTGTGCCACTCACTGCCCACATGTGCTGCCCCTCTGCTGTTTGCCTCTCACTGCCCAGATGTGCTGCCCCTCTGCTCTGTGCCCCTCACTGCCCAGATGTGCTGCCCCTCTGCTGTGTGCCACTCACTGCCCACATGTGCTGCCCCTCTGCTGTGTGCCCCTCACTGCCCACATGGTGCTGAGCATGGCCCAGGGTGTTTCTCCAGGCAGTGATGTCCAAGCCTGAGCACTGCCATAGCTACTGTCCCCATCCCTGGAAGATGGAGGTTCCTGGGCTGCTCCATCTCCTCGTCCTTGTGTGTGGGACCAAGGGCCATGAGCCAGGGCTTTGGGAGAGCCAGGCACCATCCCTGGCTCTTCTCTTGGCTCTTTGGGGTCTCTTTGGCACAGCCTTGCCCCTCCATGCCCCATGATGTCCAGCTGCAGGTAGAGGTGGGGCTCACTGGCCATGCTGGGGAAGGGCTTGGTGCTGATGCTGTGCACGGCTGGGACCAGCAGTGTGTGGGGGCATTCACAGTGTGTGGGGACAGCCTGGTGCCACTGTCCCCAGAGTGCCCACTGTCCCCAGAGTGCCCTCTGAGATCAGTCTGCTTGTGGTTATCAGTCTGGGAAACCTCCTGGAGAATGCTTTGGGGTCTCCTGGGGTGTCCAGAGCACTGGGGCAAACTGGTTTGTTAAGGAAACCAAGTGGGACAGTGAGCTGCTGGGACCAGCTGAGTGTCAGAGCTGCCAGGGAATGGTTTGGGAGGCTCTGGCTGCTGTTCGGGGATGGGGAACAGGAATTGCAGCCTCTTGGAGATGCCTGAATCCTGAAAGAAAAGGCAGCAGAATGTGGGAAGATGGGTCCTGGGCTGTGCTGGGAGGGTGTGGAGGTGTCCTGGTGGTGGCCTCATCCAGACAGAGAGGGTGGCACAGCACTCTGTGCCTTGTGATGGGCTCCAGTGACAGCTGTGGAGAGGCTGGCAGGGACAGGGTCACAGAGGGGATGCTGGGCTGCTGGGGCTGTGATGTCCTGCTCTGACAGTCTGACCCTGCTCAGGTGGGCTCACCTTGGCTCCTCTGCACTGCCCAGCGGGGATGGGACCATCCCAGGGCTCTGCCTGGGGGAGCAGCCTCTGCTTTGGTGGGGGCTGGGTCTGCTCAGCCTCTCCTGCAGACCGAGCAATTGGGAGTCCTTCTGCCTTACAAATTCAATTTACTTTTCTCTGACCCAAATGTCTTTCCCACCTTGCCAAGGAAGCATCTGATCAGCAGCAATTAGCAAAGCAAGCTGCAGTGCCTCGGGGAACACTCGGCAGATGTTCGGGAGCTCTGCGGGGGCAGGGGCAGGCCTGGCAGGGCAGGGGAGGCAGCACTGGCACCTGGGCACCTCTCCACAGGCACAGCCTCTGCAGCCAGGGATGGAGATGAGCCTGGGAAGGGTCCAGGAGCAGCTGAGGGAGCTGGGAAGGGGCTCAGCCTGGAGAAAAGGAGGCTCAGGGGGCCCTCCTGGCTCTGTACAGCTCCTGACAGGAGGGGACAGCTGCTCCAGGGAACAGGGACAGGATGAGAGGGAACAGCCTCAAACTGCACCAGGGGAGGTTTAGATTCGATAATATGGAAAATTTCTTCATGGAAAGGATGTCAGGCACTGGCACAGCTGCCCAGGGCAGTGCTGGAGTCACTATCCCTGGGAAGTGTTCAGAAAAGGTGGCTGTGGCACCTGGGGCCATGGGTTAGTGGTGGCCTTGGCAGTGCTGGGTTAAGCGCTGGATTCAATGACCTTAGAGGGATTTTCCAACCTTTATTTATCTGTGATTCCAACCCCCCCACAGCTGCCCAGGCTTTTACTGTGGTTTGATCTCAGCTCACCTTGCCTTGCTGCTGCTCACCAGTGCATCCAGGGAGAAGCTGGACTCGGGCACTGCCTTCCCATCCATCATCAGTGATTCTCTTTTCATTTGCTTTTTGGGCTTCACCTTTTTAATCCAGCTGTCTCCTGCCTTACAAATGTTCTTCCCTCAATTACTTACACCAGGCTGCAGGGCCGGTTCCATCCATCTCTGGCTGAGCTGGCAGAGCACAGGAGGGGCCACCCCAGCCCCTGTCCCCACTGGTGCCCAGCTGTCCTGCCCTAGCAGGGGAGGCCTTCCCTGAGCTCTGAGCACTGAGCCCATCCTGGGGGGCTCCTGCTGGGGGTGGGAGCAGGCAGCTCCCCTCCTCCTTCCCAGGGGTGCAGGGGGACCCTTCCCTTTCCTGTCCCCCAGGCACACGGGGAATGTGCCTGCCTCTCCCAGAGAGCGAGCTGGAGAGCAGGCAGCTTCTTCCTGCCCTGTGGAGCAGCTCCTGTCCCATCCCATCCTATCCCATCCCTGGGAGGTCACCAGGAGAGGATGGTTCAGGGGGAGGAGCAGAGCCCTGCCATGTGCACTGTGCCTCCCAGCTCCAGAGAGGGACTTCCAGAGAAGGGATCCCGTGGCTGCTTGGAGCTGGGGTGCACTCGGGGCTGGTCCCCTCATGGAAGGAGGGGCTGTAGGACACATCCCACTGAGCACCGTGCTGTCCTTCCCGCTTGGGATTCCAGCTGCTGCCATTTGCAGCAGTGCTCTGGGTGCTGTGCCCTGTCCTGCAGCCATGCAGAGCTGCTCAGCTGTGGCAGGACATGTGGCACCCTCCCAGGTGCCAGGGCATGGCACAGCCACCTCTCCCTCTGCCAAATCCCAGACAAGGGACCAGCCCCACCATCCCTGCACCAAGACTGCTTCATCCCCTCCTAATGCTCTTATCTTGAAGGCTCCTCTCAGATTAAAGGCCCAGCAGCCAGTTCCCTCCCTGGATTTATTGCAATGCAGTTTTCTTCCCCTAATCTGATCCGGGTGTAAGCTGCTCTTTGGGAAGTGCATGGGGAGGACAGATGTGCCTGTCCCTGCTGCAGCAGCCAGGCTGGCAGAGAGCAGCAGGGAGGTGCCCTGCCCTTCTTGGTGCCATCTCTGGCTCTTAAGCCTTGAACCCCATTTCTTCTCAGACTGCTGAGAGCAGCTCTGTGGAGCTCCTGGTTGGTTTGGACCCCTCACAACCAACCAGAGAGACCTTGAGGGGCTGGAGCGTGTCCAGAGAAGGGAATGGGGCTGGGAAGGGGCTGGAGCACCAGGAGCAGCTGGGAGAGCTGGGAAGGGGCTCAGCCTGGAGCAAAGGAGGCTCAGGGGGGCCCTTCTGGCTCTGCACAGCTCCTGACAGGAGGGGACAGCCAGGGGGGTTCAGGCTGTGCTCCTGGGGAACAGGGACAGGATGAGAGCAAATGACCTCAAGCTGTGCCAGGGGATGTTTAGTTTGGGTATTAAGGAAAATTTCTTCATGGGAAAGGTGCTCAGGCACTGGCACAGCTGCCCAGGGCAGTGGTGGAGTCACTGTCTTTGGCAGTGCTCAAAAGGCGAGTGGCACCTGGGGACGGGGTAAACATGGTGGCAGTGCTGGCTGGGTTTGGTGATCCAGCAGGTCCTTCCCACCTTGACAGCTCCGTGCCCTGAGGCAGGGCAGAGCCCGGGGCGCACCCACAGCTCCCTGGGCTCATGTGTGCATTGTCCCTTCTCAGCCCAAGGGTCACCGAGCTGCCACCACCCAGCGCCGGCACATGGGCCACCAGCGTCCCCCCGCCCGCCGCGGATGACGGCAGCGTCCTGCAGCAGCTGTGCCACCCACGAGAGCTGTGCCACCCACGAGAGCTGTGCCACCTGCAGCAGCTGTGCCACCCACGAGAGCCACGCCCAGCCTGTGAGTGCTCGGGGCAGGACTTTGGGGACACGGGGTGGCTCTGGGGGTTCCGTGGGTTCCGTGGGTCAGGGGCACGAGGAGGCTGTGGATGCTGGGGGTTGTGTCCTCTCGTGGGGTGCTGCTCTGTGCCCAGGGTGGCAGCAGACACACTGCTGGCAGGGCAGGGGCACACACCTGTTAAGGGGACAGGGCTGAGCTGCTTGAGGTGCTGGCAGTGCCCCAGCGTGGGGACAGAGGGTGCCTGGAGGACACTGCTGTGGACACTGCAGGGCACTGTTGCAGGTGTCCCTGGGGCAGGGAGGAGAGCCCACAGGGAGCCCCAGCCATGAGCCAGGTGGGGAGCAGACCCACAGCCCAGCATGGGCTCCCAGGCCTTGCTTTGCCCTGGGCTGTGCCCCCGGAGCTCTGGACTCGCTGTGGGCACACTGGGCATGAGCAGGGTGCAGGGGCTCAGCACCATGACTGGCCAGGGAATGTGCCAGCCCAGGGGAAGCCTGTGTTCCCCCTCAGGAAAGGACAGGGCTCTCAGCTCGGGCAGAGCTGTGGCAGCTGCTGGTCCATGGGGAAGGGACGTGTTCTGAAAGCACAGGCAGGGTGAACACACAGGGCAGACCTGCAGAGGAATAAATCCCATGGCTTTCCCACATCAGGAAAGATTTCCTGGTGTGTTCCAGAAGGTGACACCAGCTCCATCAGCCCAGCCCACCCAAACACTCAAAGAGTCTGGGTTTGGCCTCCCAAAGAAACAAGATGGGCAGAAAACCCAGTGAGCATCCAAAGTGTGTCAGGGGATTGTCCTTCACAGGCTGGCAGCAGCTGTGGGAGCCCAAGGGCTGGGAATGCTGCAGGGGCTGCTGTGGGAGCCCTGTCCTGCTGTGGGAGCTCTGTCCTGCTGTGGATGCCCTGTCTGCTGTGGGAGTGTGACCGTTTTCACAGGGGTCTCAGGTTGAGAGAAGAGACGAGGTTCTGACTCCATGTTTCAGAAGGCTGATTTATTATTTTATAATATATATTATATTAAAACTATACTAAAAGAATAGAAGAAAGGATTTCATTAGAAGGCTGGCTAAGAATAGAACAGGTAGGAATGATAACAAAGGCTCTGTCTCACACTCTCTCTCTGAGCCAGCTGACTGTGATTGGCCATTAATTAGAAACATCCAACATGGGCCAATCACTGATCCACCTGTTGCATTCCACAGCAGCAGATAACCATTGTTTGCATTTTGTTCCTGAGGCCTCTCAGCTCCTCAGGAGGAAAAACCTTAAGGAAAGGATTTTTCATAAAAGATGTCTGTGACAGTGGGAGCCCTGTCCTGCTGTGAGTGCTCTATCCTGCTGGGTGTGCCCTGTCCTGCTGTGAGTGCTCTATCCTGCTGTGGTGCCCTGTCCTGCTGTGGGTGCTCTATCCTGCTGTGTGTGAGTGCCCTGTCCTGCTGTGGGTGCCCTGTCCTGCTGTGGGAGCCCTGTCCTGCTGTGGTACCTCTGTCCTGCAGTGCCACCAGCCAGAAGTAAAGCACAGCTTCCCCAAAGAGTTCACTCAGTGTGGGGAGCCCAGGCACTCCCAGCATGGCACTTCCTCACTGCAGCTGCTGTGAGTTGTGTCACAGGATAATCCATGGGGGTTTTTGGCCAAGTAATCTCTTTGCCCCTCTTTGGGCCAGTCAAAGGGGTTTTTGTAGCCTTCTGGGCTGTTCTGGAAGAAGAGCTCTGCAGGCTGGATTCTGGATGGCTCTCCCAATATCAAGGCTCTGGCAGTGGTGCAGGGATGTGAAGGAGATTTGGGGATGAGGATGGAGGTCAGACACACACCCATGGGGTGGCTGCTGTGCTGGGGTGAGGATTCAGGCCCTGCCCAACCCAGTCACAGCCCCTCTGTACGGCAGGAAGCCTTCCTCAGCCCTCCTCCTCCTCCTCCCAGCAGTGTCAGCTGGGCAGTGCCTGCTGAGGGCTGGGACACAGCCACACTCTGGGCAGCACCAGGGACAGGGACAAGGACACGAGGTCGGGTGGGTTTATATGTTCCCTGGGGGTGACATCAAGAGGGGGTGTGGGACAAAACTTGCTTTGGGATGTGGGAAGGAAGACCTGGGATCAAATGGTGCCAGTCCCCATGGGGCACAAAGGTGAAAGGTTCAGAGGGCAGCGATGTCCTTAGGGTGGGAGAAACCTCTGGGAATGCCCCTGGGTATTGGGGGTCCCCAGACCCCTGGGTGGGACTCCCCTCCCGTGGGGGACCCCAACACCACGGTGGGAGCAGCAGCAGCCCAGTTCCCTGCCCCCAGCAGCCATCAGTTGCCTCCTTCCCTTCCCTGCAGCTGCTGGATTTCTCTCTGGGCTGTTTTTTCAATGTATGTGACACATGTTTGGTTCGAAGCGCTTAATTGCCTCTTGGGATGCATTTCATTTATTCATTAAGAGAGAAATTGGAGTTGTTGGGTTTGCTTTATTTTGCTATTTTTTTCCTTCTTTTTTTTTTCTTTCTCTATCCTGTAAGGAAAGGGTGAGGAAAAAAACTCCACATATGCCTCCAGCATGCGTGTGCCCAGCCTCTCTCCTCTGTGCCCCCCAGCCTCTCTCCTCAATTCCTTTCAGCCTCTCCTGTTGCTCCTGACCAGGAGTGGTGATCCCTCTCCAGTCCTTCTCCAACCCCTCTCCAATCCCTCTCCACCTGGTATGAGAGGGTACAAGAGCCCTGGGATGGCTTTTCTTGTGTTGCTCAAGGGTCAGGCCAGGGCTGTGTGCATGGGATGTGCTCCTGCCCTGCCCGTGCCACTGGGATACCCCTGGGTGGAAATGGTGCCATTTCCTGCTCTGGGGACTGGGAAAGGCCAGGATGGATGTTAAGGATTGGTGCCTGTGGCCTGGGCCATGCCTTCAGAGCAGGGTCTGTGCAAGCAAAGCTCTGCAGATCCATCTCCTGGCTGAAGTCAAAGCAGGAGGCACACACCTGGGAGAAACCTCTGGGCACTTGGGAGAGGATAAATGGGGATTCTCTGGGAGAGGCAGAGATCCAGACAGGCGATGGACTTGGGTTGTGTGGAGATCAAAGAGGAAACTGGACAGAGAGGGATGGATGGATGGTGGATGATGGATGGATGGATGGATGGATGGATGGATGGATGGATGGATGGATGGATGATGGATGGATGGATTCATGGATGGATGGATGGAGGGATTTGTCCTAAAGAGCTGCCTGAATCCAGAAGAGTGTGGTGGTGGATGCTGTGGTGGGAAGATGGGGCAGAGCCAGACCCACAGGCTCCACTGAGGGCAGGTGGATCCTGACCCCACACATCCCTCAGGGCTTCATCCCAGAGGCTTTGGTGCTTGGAATCCTCCCCAGGACCCTGCCCCAGACACAGATCTGCTACCAGGGTTTGCTGTCCCTTGTTTTTAGGGTTTGATGTTTTAGTCTTCCTCCTCCTCAGCTTTCATCAGCATCAACATTCCCACTAGGAATGGGTGGGCTGGGCCAAGCCTGCAGGAATTTTCTGTCCCTTGTGAGAGGCACCCCCCCCCCTCCCTGCATCCCCTTTGCTCGGTACCAGTGCCCAGAGCAGGAAGAGCCATGGATTTTAGGGGCAGATCTCCTCCTGAGGGGCTTCCTGCATTTCCTGAATCTGTGATCCACAGTGCTCCTGCCCTGGGCTGAGACCCCTGAAAACTTGTCCCTTGGAAAGGAGGATGCTGTCTCTGGATTCCTCCATCCACCAGTCCATGAGGAACACAAATTCAGTCTCTGTGTTCCTGGAGAGTTGTGCCAAACGTTTGGGTGGCTCCCAAACCCCTGGTAATGAGGGATCTCGTGCACCAGCAGATGTGGGGGTTGTTTCTCTGTGGGTTCTGGGAAGTGCCATGAGTCTGGGAGGAGAACGATCTGCCAGGGGCTGGCAGTGTGGGGATGCATCAGCAGGCTGGGATTGGCAGTGGATAGCTTCCAGCATGGAATCACAGCTCTGGAAAGGGGCAGCCCTGCTCCTGGGGCTCAGCACCGACCCTGCCCTGCGCAGGTGAGCAGCTTGCCCAACAGCAGATGCCAAAATGGAACAGATCCCGCATCCCCAGTCCAGGTTTCCCCAGACCTGGATCCGTATCCCAGTGGTCCAGAGCCCCTGCAGCACCAGGCCTGTGCTCCCAGGGATGCTCTGCCCCTCCCAAAGCCCTTGTCCTGCTTCCAGCCAGCTGCCACAGACCAGCGGACCTTCTTCCCTTTTCCTTCTCCTCCTCCTCCTCCCACTTCCCAGGTCTGGAGGGAGAGCTCAGCTGGGGCTGTCTGTGCCAGAAACAAGCACAGGGAAATGGGAACGGCTGGTGCTGCTCCCGCCAGGCTGCCTGCCAGGGAAGCTTTGGCTTTATCTCCCGAGCCAGGCACCCTGGCAAGGGAACCAAGGCCTGCCTGGGGCAGGAGGAGGTGCTGGTGCTGCTCCAGACCCCTGGGCTGGCTCCAGAGGGGTTGTTTTCCTCCTGAGCAGCACTGCAGCACTCACACAGAAGGATTTGCAATGCAGAGGAAACCTCCCACCCGCCACGCGGCAGCGTGGGCAGCGAGCGGAGCCGGCAGCGGCTGCGCTCCCACGGGCTGGGCCCCACACCTGCCCTGCCCAGGCACCCTGGGCCTGTCCTGCCTCTGGCACCCCTCCCTGCCAGGAGGGACCATGGGGACCCTCTGGGCACTGTGCCCCAAGGACAGGGCTCTGCCTGGCACCATGGAGGTGATGCTCTGCTCCCTGCTGCTTTGGGGCTTCTGTCTCCTTCCAGCACTGTGTTCCCTCTGCCCGCTGAGCAGGGACAGAGTGGCTGGCACAGCTGGCATGGCTGGCATCACTGAGTGCCTTTCTTGGCAGCCTGGGCATGGAGAGCACTATAAGGAGTGCAGGTGTAGGACAGGAAGTCTGGGCTCTGGGATCCAGCAGATCCGTGTGTGATCCATGGCTGGATGTTTGGCAGGAGGAAAGGCCCCAAGGTGTCACAGGCCAGTCCCACATCCAAAGGCAGGA